TGAGTTAAAATAAAGCAAATAATCATGACAAAACAAACAAAGTGAATTTAAAACATATGTAGAAGAATTAGATGGRGGTGATTTAATAAAAAGTTTTTATTGTCCAGTCCAATTCATTTATAAAGCCTTTCAAAACTCCTCCAAGAGAACAAAGACCTGTACAATACAATACATTAAAAAAAACACTCAACAAGAAAAGATGAAAAGAAGTAAAACAAAGAAAAAAACGGATTACCAAAAACATAAAAATGAGCATCCTAGGATGTAGCAAAATGGGTTTAAACGTGGAGACCTGTCAAAAAAATGTGTATGGGTTTTTTCTTTGAGACGTCCCTAAAACCATTGGTCCATTTTGGGGATGAACWGTTTGACATGCTTGTTTTCACCAGTATGACCACTAGATGTCAGTACTTGTCATATAGTGCACCTTTAAAGTTCAGAAATTATTACTAAACTAAGGAGAAATTACATCTGTGTAGTTAAACTAATGGTCATTTCTTGTTATTCTGGGAAAGAAAACTGCAGATTTTACATGGTAAAGCAGTCTGTATGGACCGCTTTTGACTGTTTTATTTATTCTCTTGACTGTCATTTCTTTGCTTTATTATACAATCCAAAGTYGCGTACGCTGTGTTTGATGAACATACGTTTCATTCTCGCAGAGCGTTGGCCTTTGGCGGGGTCTTATAAATCACAGCCTGTCAGCACGCAGCTACTGCCTTTAAAAACTCAGTTTTATTCAGATAAATTTCATTTGTCAGAGTCAATTCTTCTGAACTCTATGTTAACTCATTTCTAAGGCGACCATAGTTCCACTGAATTTAATAAAAGACAAGTCGCCATTGATCAACTTGTTGTAGACATTGTGTTTATTTTATGTTTACTGGTAGCTTGGAAAGTATCTTGTAAACCATTTTGGAGTCTGCATGAAATTCTAGGAAAGGTTTTCATTAAATAGAATTAATGTTTTATGCTGAGTATGAGCCYTATCACTTCCTCTTGATATTATTTACAGAAGACAAACGCAAAAGTAAACTCCCCTGACAGTCAGACGGGGAGAAAATGAAATCCTGTCTTGTCCACTGGAAACAAACAAAGCACCAGAAACAGATTTAAAATTGAGAATGTCTGTTTATAATCACATGGAGAAAAACTCAGAGAGGACACTGAAGCTGTTTTTATTTGTTGTTTTTTTTTTACTCTTATTTATTCTACAGAGGGAAAATGCCTCCTTTTTTTCAACATCATCACAATAAGATGCTTTACTCAATAACATACTGAAACATCAGTTGTGACAGAACAGTCACAGAAAATCTTTGGTCTTTATGATTGAATTGGACCTAAAAATAAAAAAAAGTGTTAATTTACTTGATTGATTCACAAATTGTGATCCACTAAGAGCACTAAACACAAGTTATGCAGCGTCATTGCACTTTTCACTTTTCTTTTACTCTTTCGGTTTTGTTTCAATCAGTGGTTACACAAATCCTCCTAAAGTTGAAGCTAGTTGTTTGATTAGAGATGAGAACAATTCTGTTTAAAAAAAGATGAACTGGAGCTTATTCTAGCATGTTTTGAGTGAAGCAGGGTATAGCTGGATGAGCACATGGAGACAAACAACATACAAAACCACACGCTTAAACTCACTCCTGAGGATAATTTAGAGTCTCCAGTCATTCTGAACATGTTTGGACTGAGTAAACCAGAGCACCGAGAGAAAACTCACGCAAACTCCACACAGAAAGACCTCAGTCTTCTTTGAAATTACATACTTATAGATATTATATATTATATAAAGTATTATATAGAACACAAACCCATTAATGTATATAATGTATAATACTGCACATAATATATAATGTCTACATATACGTAATACAGTGGTTTGCAAAAGTATTCATACCCCTTGAACTTTTCCATATTTTGTCACATTACAACCACAAACATAAATATATTTCACTGGAATT